AGCAGGAATATTTTGCTCATCTGTAAAACAGCATCCTTATTACACAGAAATATGCGTTATTCAAGTTATTTACAAGGGAAACAGCAGTATTTCACAAGGCTGGGAGAACAGATTGCAACTTCCCACTCTCCAGCTCCTTCTTGCTTTGAGAAATTGCGGTTTGTTCACTGGGGAGAAGGGTCCTGATCGCTCAGAAATTTGCGCTAAGAAAGGTTAGCATCAAAAGCAAGATTTCATCTAAGACAAATTTCTGGCCAAAGTAGTTGGCTGTGAGAACTGTTATCATGGCTAACAGAGATGGAGACATCCAAGCACCCACAAACAAACCCACAGCACATGGCCTGATCAATCCGATAACTAAGTGGCTTCACACAAAGCTATTCAAAAAGGGAGAAACGGAGTGATTGAGGCTACATACTCCCCCCAATGACATCGCGGAACAGAAATCAGCTCGAGATGATCAGCCACAACATAGACAATTAGGCACTATACTCATCAACGTGTTATTTAGAGAAAAGACTGATTACTTACTAAATCAGAGTTTATATTGATTCAGAGGAAGACAAACAAATATTGAGCTGTTTGTGCGGATGGGGATGTGTCTTAAAGACACTCCACGAAGTAAAGAAACTCCACGAAGTTCGTGTGTCCAGCGTACTTCTCTGGGATGTGACTTTACGCTGTGCAGCCGCTCACTTAATTATTTAGCTTGCTCATTTATTACGGAGTCCGAACCAATAGCCAGAAAGTGTTTTCCCCAAATGTTGCCAAAAATAAAAACCAAAACAAAAGCTTTTGCAGGGGAAAGTATAGAAATGTGTATATACTTGTTTACATGCAGGTGCAGAACAATTTAACAGGAATGCATAAGGGGAGACAACTTCTAAGCAGGTGTTTATACTTATAAAAGACAAATTAAGATATACACATACTTTACTGAGGCTCCTATAACTACAGTTTAATCTAGAGATCCATCTAAATATGTACCTATTTTAAACAATTTAAGATTAATGAAAGAGTTTGTTAATGACTTCCTACGCAACTTTTATTTTAGGAAGTGCTAAGAAGTTTTATAGAGCAAAAATATGTAACTGTCAAAGATAAAGTCATAATCATTGCAGGAGGAGGGCTCTTTTCTTGTTTTTCTAGAGAGATGTTGTGTACTAATATAAATTGTTAAATCACTTTATTTAGCAGAATAAAAAGTGAGCTTCTCTATATAATCCTGGGGGTGTTACTTTTGATTATATTCTTTAAATTCATCATTAGCTATTTGCAGTCATGAGACCAGGTGTATTTACGGGATTACTCTCTGGTGTGGTATTTATTTGGGTTTCATATTTTGATTTGTTTTAAATGCACTGTACAACCTCATGAACAGAAACCAGCAAATTTAAGTGTCTGTTTGTCCTCTTTCTATTTTGCTAGGCATGGAATTGGTGCATTGTTATTTTCCCATAACCACCACCTCCCATGTGCTCTGCAACTATCCCCTTAATTTTGGGCTGATTTTCTTTTTTCCTATGACAGCCTGTTATTTAGTAGCTACCAGCAGATGAGAGATTCATTCTTCATTTATTTGAGGTTCGTTATTTCTGTTAAAAGCCCCAAGATATTTGGTAATAAATAACTACAGATATTTTAATAAGTGGTTACAAACCGTAACACAGTGCTCTGTAGCAACTACGTGTCTATATGGCAAACCTATCCAATCTCCTGTTTTATCTGTCAGTGTTCAACCAGTCTCACTCTATACTTTTAACTCAATCAGCATGAAATAGCATTTAGATAAACATCTCAGATAAACTGCATATTATTGTGCTCCAATTGTTTTTTTTTTCAGATCAAACCCCCTTCCTCTGAGGCAATTTTTCCTATCCACGTTCTTTTCTTGCTATATGGATATTTCTTTGTTGAACAACATGTCAGCAGGACAGATATGAATTTAAAATGTCCTTTTCTGTATGCTTGTTTCCACATTAAACTATAAATAATCTAGACTTGCACTCAAACTATCACACTGATTATTTTCTTGTAAGTGTCCAAATTTTAGTCAAGAAAAAGTATTATCAATGCACTGCAAAAGTCCTTTGCAAATTAGGAGTCTTCAGCGTCCACTAGACCCGCAGCTGCTTTCTGCCTCTGTTAAACTGTTTCTTTCCATTTCTAGCCCAAATTTAAACTATGTGGATGTGTACTCTAGTAATTACATAGAGATAACATGCACAAGGCATAAGACACTGTCAAAATTCAGAGAAAGGCAATCACAGTTTGCTGTTTCTACTGAATGGCTATTGTTTCTCTTCTATTTCACTCTTCTTGTTGCTACTGCATAAAGGAGTTTTCTGGACAATATTTCTATGGGCTCAGCCTGCGCCAGCTTGCTCCTTCTAGCCCTGTGTTTTCATGTTGACTTGGACGTGAGCGCTCATCTGCTTACAGTGGCCTCACTACTGCTTTTATTTATGCCAAAGTTTTCTTCATAGCCCTCCTTCCTGACAAACACACATACCATCTTAAAAGAAAAAATATTAGAGAGAATATCCAGTGATTTCTCCTTAACTGAATGTTAGAAGCCAAAGATCAGGAAAAATGCCTATTTAGTCATTGTATAAATGAAAAACCCTGCACCAGCTTTCTTCTGATCCTTTTTCTCATTCGTATTTCAGGAATTCACCTTGTTCAGTGTGGTATGTCTTCTCAATTAGAGATCAGACCTCCAAAAAGAACACCAAAGCGGTAGGGATACTATGTGAAGCAATGATCATGCTGCTGACCTTGTTTAACTGCTGCAGCCACATACAGTAGCTGCAGAATTTTCCGTAACTTGCTGGGCTTGGTAACAAGAGCTGGGCATGAGACCTCCGGCTTAATAGGAAAGTTTTATGGTAAAGCTCAAGATCACAGTAAAATCATGATGAGGAAGTTTTCTTATTATTATGGGAGTTTATGTCCAAGGTTGTAGTCTGAGCCCAGAACTAGCACTGATGCAAATCCAGGAGGATTTTACACAAATCACGTTATTTTGATCTTGGCTACCTTGTGGCTTCCAAACATTTGGGTTTGGAGTTCAAACACATTCCAGCTTTATAAATATCATTCTCTCTTCCTTTGGCTAAATATATGCCATTTCCACTCTGAGCTCTGTACACTGATATATATTAATCCTTGAACTACTTCAGTTAATAAGTCAAAAATCCATGAAATCTATTCCAACAACATAGATTATATCAGGCCAACTTCAGTTCTCTCTGTCTGCTCCTCCAATACTTGTAACTTGAGACTTGCAGAGAGATGGATGAGAACCTGAGCAAGAATGCATATCCTCAAGATGAGAAGTGTTTGTAAGCAGGCAGTTGTTTCCTTCAAAAAATGTTTCCCTCTTCTTTTGGCTATGATCACTACTGCTTTCAAAGCATGCTATGTAGAGAAACTTAAACGAAAAAAAAACACTCCTCTCCTCATTTTAGATGGCAGACGTTCTTTCTTTGGAAAGGATGCTTTCTGGCCCATTATAAACCAGAACAATTTACCAGAGTTAACAGTTTCTACATTTGGCTCTATGCATTTTTCTTTATGAATGCAGCAACAATCAACCCAACATGAAAGCAAGACAGACGTGTGACCACTGCTGCCTTCTTTAGGTGGAAACTCTCTTTTATTAGAAACTGTAGCGCGCGGGTGGGAGGGAGAGATCAGGGAGGAGATGTTCAGGCACCGGCTGTCAGCCCTTAGGCGTGACCACAACGCTGCAATCTTTGGAACGCAGCTGGACGGAAAGGCTGAGGGATGCCCCTGCCTCCCCTAGGGAAATCACTCTGATGCTGCCAGGAGCTGTGATTTGTCTCTCCAGGAATGTTGCCACCTGCAGCAATTCAACCTCCTCTATAATACGGTTTAAACAAGGAAATTTTCCTCCTCAGAAACTGCCAGATCACTGTTTCCTCTGAGTTATCTCCGATGGGCAAGAAAATGAAGGCAAGGAGGAGTCCTCAAAATGGAGTACTGTGGCTGTGCTGAAAGCAGGTGCGGGATAACGTGCTTAGCTTGACAAAATTAAGTGAACCTGATGGCTCCATCATTGGTTCCCCAGACATATTCATCAGCTAGTGTAAGAGGAGCTGAAACTATGCCTAATCTCAATACTACCAAACAACCTTCACTGCCTTTGATGGAAAGGAAGCAAAGCACATCCATAAAACCACTGCTGGATGCATTTTGTCATTCCACGTACTGCAAGCAGACTTCCCAACTAACTCCAACGGTTTCTGTTACACTATCAAGAGACAAGAGAACCACTATATAGCCATGGATTTTTGGGGAGATCTTTTTAAAGTCTTTTTAAAGTCTGTTTAGGCTCTCCTTCAAAACAAAGCCCTTATGTCAACAGGAACTCTTGCTTAGACATGCTTCACTGGTTATTCTTTATGAACTTGCGTGATCGAAGAATAATAGCTTTCACAGTTAAGAAGAAAACAGCTACACAGCTCACACTTCACAAAAGCTCAGATAATGCAACACAGCACATGTCAAATACACACCAGAGGAATACATCCCACTCAAGCACACTGTGATGGGGAGTTTTCAGAAGGTATCTATGCAGGACAGCCAGCAAAGTGCTGTTGCAAAGATCTTACCTGTTCAGTGATGAAGGAGCTTGAAAAAGTGACAGCTGACCAAAAGAAGATCCCACAGCTGAGAATGATCTTTCTGTTGAAACGGTCACCAAGGTAACCAAAAATAGGTGCTGCAACCATGAAACTGCAGATGAAAACTGTGAAGAGGAGAAAAAGGGGAGAAACATTTAATAAACATCAGGCCAAGAATATGAAAACTAATTTTCTGCAAGCCAAATCCTCTAGAGAGCAGCTCCATTTAATTAGATGTTCTGCAGCCCTGACTTACAAAGTTACGCAGTCTGATAGGCTTTCAGGAGACAGAGTTTCCTTAATCGAACAGATTTTTCATTCCCAGAGAAACTTCAGAGCAGTGAACTTGGATTACATTTAAAAGCATTAGCCCCTCAGTCTGCTGCAAGCTCAAAATCCAGGGATGGGCAAAACTGGGACAGCACGAATTAAGAGCCTCTGCCTGAATGTCCCTGAGAAGGTGAAATGAAGGTTGGAAGGAATTTTAAACAAACAGAAAGCAAGCCAAGGGCTCCTTGGTGGCTCTTGCAGTACAGAGAAATAGGCCACAGGAACTGAAGTACTTTCATCCACCCATTTTAAGGCGAAGTGAGTAAAAATGGTTAACACTACTATTGTCCTATTGGCAGGAGCCCTGTAGTTAGACAGAAAACTCCAGTCTCCTTATCAAGTCCCTTCACCAGCACTGAACTTGTGTTTAAACCCGTCACTGAACAGATACTTCACTAAAAGAAACCATTTTGACCTACAAAACCCTAAGAGGCCAGGGATGTCCTTTCTGGAAAGACTACAGACTCACCTTTCCCCTATGCTTCTTCCTCCTGCAAAATCAGAGCAGTAACCCAAGAACTTCTGCCAGGCAGGAGCGAGCTCCTGACAGGATACTCTCTGCAAAGTCTCCTTGACCTCAGATCTCACCTCTCCAGCCCAGCTCAAAACAATCTGGCCAGTGACACAACTGAAAACACCTAAATCCAGGCAATCACACTGTGCTCACCATTAATTTGGAAATTTGGCAGAAATTGATTTAAGCTACAGGAGACACCAAAGGGCCTGGAGATCCCTCTTTAGTCACAGTTACGACTCATATTAATTATTAGGTGGTTCTTGGAAGGCAGGGGGGCTTTAGCCTTGACTAACCCTAGCAGTCTATTTTTAAGTGTACAAAAGGAAAAAAGGAAAAAAAATAAAATAAAGAGAAGAGCAGAGGATACACACTCCTTTGGGTGGAATGTGTGTATGATATTACAGTGGTTAAGATACAAATTATGACTTTTTGATGGCAGTACATTATAGCCCAAAAACATGCAGAGTCCTGAACAGGGCAATGATCTGTATGTCTCTTCTTTTTTAATATATTAAGATGTCAAAGCCGTTTCATAAATAATATATATCCTTTTGCGTCTATATTTTGTAAGACATACCATTCTGTGTATATCAACTTTGCACCGTGATGTTTATGATAGGAATTGCAGATTTACTCTTTGTAAAGATTTACAGTAAAATAAATAAAGAGACAATAAATACAAAAATATTAAGAAATAAAAAGAAGCAAGTGCAACATTATATCACGTATATTTCAATAGCGATGCTATGACAACGTTGCTGTTAAGCTAGGGCATAAAACTTACCGATAAATTGAAAGTTCAGTCCCTATATTCATCCTGAAATCCTAGCGCAAACAAAACCTGCTGAATACAACTACTGCCACTTACACAGCATTTTGCATCTCCCCCCATTTTACAGAGCGAGAAACACAGCAGCTTGCCGGAAACCCACTTTAGCACTGTACCCCCAGGCAACCTGCCCCCGTGTGAGGCTGTAGGGTTGATGCCTTCTAGGAAGACGAGGCAGCGCTGCTGCCCCTTCCCTGCAGGTACGCTGCCTGCGCAGGGCCCCTCTTTGCCAGGCAGAGCCCTCCAGCACAGAGCTCTGCTCAGGTAGGCTCCCACTGCCTGCTCCGTTGGTGCAAGCAATGCCTGAAGCAGCCCCGGAGCTGTGCCGTTCTGCTGTTCCTGGTCCCCTGTTTTGCCGTAGGACAGTGACTGCCCACGTAGATGCTCTCTTTCCTACGCAGGGCATTCCGTTATGCCCACCAACCCCTGCAGCTCAGTCCATCTTCCTGACTGTGCATCACTGAAACCCTTGATATACAGTGTGGCTCGCTCTAGTAGACCAGAATCACAAACCTCAGCCCTGCAAGGGCTGAACTGCGTTGGCCCCCATCCAACAAGGCACTTAAGCACATGCTTATATCAAGCATTTTAGAGTCATCAATGCCATGATTAAGTGCTTTCCTGAATTAACATCAAAGTGCTTGGCACCTTGCAAAGCTGGTGCAGCAACCTGGCATCAGGGATACAAGACTGCTTATGGTTATTGAGAAGCAGAAAATGACTGCCTCGTACCGAACAGCATGCCTGCTGCAATTTGACCTTACCCTTGGAAGGACACAAACTCATTCATCTCACAGTCAGATATTCTGCCATTCTTACAATGTAAAATGACATAAAGCTAAAGAAAGCTTCTAAAGAGAAGATTAGAAACATCCAAGTCAGCATCCCACCATTTCAAATATCAAAAAATCTCATTAATTCAGCTTTGAGACATGGAGGGTATGTTCCAAAATTCACATTAATCAGTGAGATTATTAGCTTCAATGACCTCTGGATGATAAATGGGAAGTCTAATTTTGGAATTTGGGTAAAAGTGAGCAAAAGGCTCAAGCCTCCTCTCTCCAATAAAACAACCCAAAAAAGATCATCCCATGCCTCCCCGCTCCTAACACGCATCCTACTGTTACTCAAATCCTTCCAGGGAATTTATTTTTGGAAGCTTCTGTTCTGAACTAAGCTATGAGCTTTGTCACTGGTAAACAGCTGACTTGACAGCTCCACAAGGTGTAAAACAAAAGGACAACAGAACCTAATAAATAATAGATAATGGAACAAAGCTGTCATAATAATAAATGCAATTGATATCAGAATATTTATGACCCAAATATGCATCAAAGCATTGACTGACTCAAACAAATGCAGAATATGATGGCTGCGTGATCTGGCAAAAAGGATCTGCCTGTTACAGGCATTTCCCACGAATCAATTTTTGCAATTACTCTTGCAAATGTCAGATGAGACTCCTGAACAATAGACACAAGCTCCACAACAATCAAAAAGTGACTTTATAAACTTACAACCTAAGACGGCTGAACAGAATGAATCTAGGGCACACTACCAGGTGGGATGGAAACCCAAGTTACTCTAGACCAGAAGCTGAGGTTCTGTGATAAACAAGCATCATGATGGGAGAGATTTTATCCAGATAACAGAAGATTGCAGGTGCTTTCAGGTGGGGAGAGGTGTAGTAGAAACACAAGACTAATTTGCAGAGAAAGATGGTAGCAGCATAAAGCAGAAAAAAGGAGGCACTGTAATAAAGGAACCAACGTTTGTGCCAGCCTCCTCTCCTATCTGGCTCCTCTCCTCTCTTCCACAGCATTTTTTGCTCCTTGTATTCACCCACTCCCCAGTAAATACCCAAGTGACACCATAACAGCTGCTGCTTCTGACCAACCCACTGCCACAAATCCTTTATATTAGAGAGGGCTGTGACAGCAGCTGGCATTTCATTTGTCTCTTCCCAATCAGCAGCTCCTCCTCCCATTTACATTTAAAGCCCTCTCAGGATATTACTGAATCTTGAAGAGACGTACAGTGCAAGTCAGGGCAGAGTTAGAAATCCACTGGGATTTGCTATGAGCTACTGAAAAGGTAGGGATCATGTTTAGAGCAGCTGTGGGCAGGTACAGCTATGTCAGTGGCCATTAGGCACGCCACACAGCTAGTTTCTCTTAGTAAATCATCTCCAACAGTGCCAGCAAAAGTGGTTCAGTCCCAGCACTGGGTGGAGCTGGGATATATTTCTGCAGAGGCAAATTATCTAAGCAAAGGATGAATAAATAGACACATAATGAATGCTATCCCAGGAGGGAGGTTCTTTTAAGTGCAGGTATTTTCAAAAGGAGATCACATTTGTCTTTATACCTCCCTTTGTGGCTTAACCGCTAAAATGACAGCTGCGGTGAGAAATCAGGAAGAGTGTAATTGCCCGAACAGGATGGCTTGGTGTCTATTTCTGCCTCTAGATGCCTGTCCCACCCTGTACAGGTGCACAAGCACCTTAGCAGCCAGCACTGCCCAGCTCTTTCTGTGCACAGCTGGAATTACAAAAATTGTAGCTTAAAAAACAAAACAAAACCATAAATCCCTCCCTCTCCTCCCTGCAAATATGCACAAGAGAAGGAAAGCATCCTCCCCGGCCTCTGCTGCCTACTTCACGCACCGTGGCCTCAGTTGTCCTTCAGGGATTACAGCCAGGGAGCTGGCGTTCAGCCTACACTTTCCCCTGTTCACAGATAATGAGTTGTCTATGTGCCCAGTGGAAAAGAAAACCCCCAGATAGTGGAAGCAAAGGACATGAGGGGAGAGAGAGAGAAACTGTAGGCTTTATATTTAACAGCACAAAATCCTCCTAGAACTAGACTGGGTCACTGTTGTTGTTCTCTCCTGTTCCTCCAAACAAAAATTTACCAACTTGACCCTGCAACTGTGCCCTGTAACAGCACTGAGAAGCACCAATAAGCTTTCTGCCCCTTGATTCCAATAAGCCACTGCTGCCTCTGTCTCACTTGCTTTTTTTCAAGGATAGGTCAACCCTTGTGTCTCAGAGAGGGACAACTCCTGCCACCGAGCATCCCTCAGTACGCCCAAGAGGCATCGATGCAGGGGCACACGCACAGGTCGCATTTCCTCTGCTACTGGAAGGCTGAGAGGATCACAGGCATCTCCAAGAAAAGATCTTTTCTTTTAGTGTTCAACCACACACGGTTTATTTTTTCCTAACAGGAGTAATGTTAGAAAGGTTCAGGCTCTGGCAAAAATAGCTCATTCGCTCGCTCGCTCGCTGCAGGGATGCTCCACATGAAGAAATAGTGGCTATCTGAGCTCTGAGTCAGCATGAAACCATATATGCACTTCTAATTGAGTGCTGACAACGTGTTTGGCTCTGTGGAAGGCAAACCCAGACAGCCCCTGCCTCAAGGGACTGGCAATCTGCTTAGACACAG